CCTGAGAGAGGGCCTCCTGAACTCATGGCATCAAAGCTCTGGAACTCTCTCCCCAGAGAGACATCTGTCCTGGATTGTTGGGGAGGGTTTCCGTCTTCTGCCAGTGGATGAAGACATTTTTGTTTCACCTGGTGTTCCCTCAGTGATCCCTCCTTCCTGCCCTTTAATTGTTGTTTTTATGTATGTGTATTTTATTGTATTGTATGTGGATTTTGCCTTGACCTGGATGGCCCAAGCTAGCCTGATCTTGTCAAATCTCAGAAGTTAAGTAGAGTTGGCCCAGGTTGGTATTTGGATGGGAGATCTCCAAGGAAGTCCAGGGTCTCTACGTAGGGGCAGACAATGGCAAACCATCTCTGAATGTCTATGGCCTTGAAAACTCTAAAGGGCCACCATAAGTTGGCTGTGACTTAACGGCACTTTCCACCACCATATTGTGGACTTTACACCTTGGTTTTAATTCTTTGAATGATGTGTTCTTGTTTAGTCTTAATGGTTTTTAAGATGTGCTTTTAATATGTTTTTAATACGTTAGCTGCCTTAGTGACACTGATAAGGGCAGAAAGACAGGGTATACATTTTGAAAATAAATAATAAATCAATAAATAGCCTTGGAACTTCCACACATACACACCTGGGGAAAGTGGGAGACCAAAGCCATAATCTGCAGTTTCTTTCTAAACGCAACTAGAAAAGATAGAGATCACAATCTATCCCAAGTTAAGTTTAAATAGAAAGAAAAGCATTACTTAATTTTCCAATTAAAATTAGCTTTGATTTGGTCAGATTGTGACCCAGTTGTATTAAGTCTTAGTAAGTATACTCCTGTTCATATATACATTGCAGTGGTTCCTGTTAAAATCACTATGATTGCTAGAAGTTCCACTATTTTATGTGATAAGCAAAGAACTTGGAACAAGGAAAAGGGAAAGTTCAGAAATACATGGGTTTTTCACATATAGAAAAGAATGGGATGTCAGTGCACATATGGGAATCATGAACTACAAATACTACATCCTTATATTTTGGTTAATGTAAAAGTTGGATTTTCCTCCAGTAAGGCTTGGAAGTAATAGCAGAATCTACTCTAAAGATCTGTAACTTCCCCTTAAAATAAAATTGGGAGGGGAGAGACAGCAATTGTCTTTTTAATTGTTGGTTTCCTTTGGTAATGTTTTACTGTTTTAGTGTCCTTTGCTTGTTGCATTAAGTGCTATTTTAGCAGGGTAGCTGACTAATAAGGTTTAAAAATAATATAATAAATTATTTAAGCACTGCAGAAATGTAATCTCTTCAGTAGCTGAATGTAGGCTGAGTCACTAAAATAAAACCAAATTTAAAACAAAACGAGGACAATTACCCAATACAATAAATACAAGCAGAATATTACTAGGTTGTATTATGGCCCTTTCGCCTACCACTTCAGTTGGAAAAGAATGTTCATCGTTCACCTTGCAACAGATTTTTATTCCCCAGCTATGGATGTTTGCAAAAGCTAATTTCCAGCTCATGTTTATGAAATGTCCTTATGCCAAGAGCTAGAGGTGGCTCTTTAAAGCATAGCTCAGACAGAAAAATAAATCCCAGAACTAATGTGGAATAGCAGATCCCCTACTGCATCAGCTGGCAAAAGTGCACCCAGCCTTCAGGGGATGCTGGTAAGCTTGTGGGACTTGTACAGTCCTGACACTTCAAGCTACATGAGGACCACTGAAGACTCCTAGAACGCACAACATGCTGAAACATAGTCTGTGTAGTCCTGTAGAATAATAATGGACAAATCCCATTCATTTCATTGGAGCAGTTTTGGAGAATATCCCAGCAGATTTTGCTTATCTAATGGGGGGGGGGCTGACAGAACGTTTAAAATTCTATTTTCCATTTAATTTGATGGCAAGTTGATTGTGCTTCATGTCGGCTACCAAAAAGACTGACAGTCATCCAACAGCAGCAAAGAACTGGCAATGCTATTTGCCTCGTGGAAGAGAAAGTTCAGCAAAACGATGAAGGGTACCATCCAGCCAAAGTTAAGCACATTTAACTCCCATGTCGTTCAATAAGTAATATTTTAGCATGTTTATAAATCACTCATTGAAGTAATGGGATATGGAAAAGCACTTAACTTTGGCTGGATCAGGCCCTTAGTTATAGATATAGATATATATATATATAGATGTAATATTTGTAAGTACATTAAAGTTTAGTAATTTTTGTTTACATTTTTTAAAAAATTGATTTTTCCCCAATAGGATGAAAACGGCACATCTACAAGACACAGCTTTTTTTTAACTCAAGATTTACCTGAGACCCTGTAATGTGAAGACAGACAGACAAAAAGAAGGCTATGATATAGACAGTCTCCTAAAAGGAAGTACAGTTAGATTGGTTACTACGAACACTGGGAAGGAGGAAAGAAACAAGCAAAACTACTCTAAAACTCACCATCTCTACACTGGTTGCTAAGGTATTTTACAGGGACATATAACAGCACTAGTACACACTACATGAACACGGATCACTTTTTAAAACCTCATATATGCGTGTATAGGATACAAGAGGATACTAAAAGTTACAGTTTTGCCAATTATTTGAAGACATGTTTTTCTTCCTCATGTATAGTGCATTTATAATAAACGGGTTACTTCTATGGAGGTTGTTGAATGTATTCTCACAAGCTGTACTTTCAGTCTACGTGTTAGATTAAAAACTATTTAAGGTTAATATTCATATATCACTGCGCACAGTGCAATGCTATGGAGCGTAGCACATGCAAGTAACATAATGCAGCATTGCTGATGAGTGATGTGCCAAGCAGCTAAACTCTTTGCTCTCTCTTTGCTTTATACTGTCCCCGTTTCCTTTGCAATGTGAGTTGGTGGTTTATGATTTCGAAATGACCATGGAATGCAGAGGGATAAGTTGAGTAAAGGCAAAGTATGTACACCTCAGATTATTGTTTGGAGGAAGAATCTGCCTTTACAAAAGTATACACAGATATTATAACAACAACAACAACAACTATATAGACTAACTTCAGGGTTCAGTTATTTCGCCCACCCTGCTGGCTGAAACAGAAGGAAACACTGAAAAGGCTAAAGGCTGTATAAAGAACTTCGTAAGAAAAGAGCAGGGGGCATATCGCATAGCTGAACGTGAGCAAGTGTTTTGCATGTGGAAGCTAGGAGATTTATACTACCAGAAGAATATAAAATTAGGCACAAATTATATGATGGCTTCTTGAGAAGAAATGATTATAAACTGAGTGAAGAAAGCATGGAAAACACGAGTGGGACTGAAAAGAGGACTTGCATTTCCCCCCCTCAGTTTATCAATGAAATAAAGACGTGAGGATGAACGGAAGCATTTAATGGAAAAAGAAAACCTAGCAGATTATTAACTAAAATGCATGAAATTAATTAAGACAGTGGTGCCCACCTGCCTTTGTTTGGCACTCTTTCACGTAAGATTTCAAAACAGATACAGCTTTGTTTCATACAGCTCATTTCACCACGCTCTTCTCTTTTCTCTCCCCCACCCCACCTCACACCTTTAAGAGAGCCTGAAAGGCTCATTAATCTCTCTCTACACCACTGCCAAGTATCATATTATATTAGTGCCCTGTATTGAGAGGCTGCCTTCTTGCTCGTGTTACAAAGCAGAACAACTTGTGCCAATGTAACTAGCAGCTCTCGAATGGAAGACGTGTTGGCAGATTCACTGGGCCACACTCAGCTCCTATGGTATAAAAATACTGGATCCTCCCATTTTCTATCTAGCATTACAGAGGTAGGAATCTAGTCCCATATATCATATACAGCTCTGAGCTGCTTCCTGCAGTATTCTCTTGTTTCGTATGACCAGAATCTCAGTTTTGTTTGTGTGATTGTCCTGATGATTTCAGGATGCAGAAAAGGGGGGTGGGGCATTGTTCAGTAAAAGGGCAGCACTTCTTCACATGTGATGTTTCAGAGTCAAACAACAGCATCTTCAGGGAAAAGGACTGTGGGCTGGGAAAGACTTTGGCCTGTAAGACTGGGTTCCATATTTGCTAACAGTCAGGCTTGGTAGCAGTGGATGCAACAGGAAATAGCCTGTAAGGCATAAGGCAGCTTATCCTATCTGTATATTCAGAATTTAAGCAGTTCCTTTAAGCAATTGTGTTTGCTGTAATTTGGGGCAAATAGATAACGGAATATATTTGCCCAGATGGTAGCCCGATCAATTGGTTGTTTTCATTGGATAGTTTTACACATCAAGACATCTGCTCCCTGATGGCCCCTCAGGGCCCAATTTAATTTCCTTTAAAATCAATGAGCACAGGGCAGGTAAACAAATCGTTGTAGCTTTGTATCCCCTCAGGGGAAACCTAGCCACTTGCCCACTACCACCATAGTCCTGCATTTACTGGGGTTTTTTTGCATGTCATGGAATAGACTGCAGTAACACCTATGCCTGAGTGATTCTGTGATGCAAATCAGATGTTTGGACTCCAACAATGAGATGAAAAGCTATGGCTATAGCCCCCATCTAGCAATCTGCTGAATACTACATACAGTTGCCAACCACCTTGTCTCTTAGCACAGCTGGACCAGAGGCAATGCTCATGAAATGTCCAGATATGGAACCGGAAACTTACAACCCATCCCTGTGGCTGTAACAAATAAAAGTAAATTATGTGAATTAGTTGTTAAGAGCAGAATTGGCCCAGCACTGACTGAAGCAATTTCCCTGTGCAACTGGACTCATTGTCATTGCTTCACACTGAAGCTACTTCTTCCTGGACACCACTGTGTACATGTGTGAACATACACACACACACACTAAACCAAAAACCAGTGCTTAAAGTGGTCACTGTAGTTCTTCACTATAAGCATGCAACAATAACTCCTACTTCCTAAGCAACCACTTTCAGGCACTGTGAAAAAGAATAAAAAGGGACAATGAAAGATAGAAAGCTCAAAGGAATAACTGTACAATGTGGCCACAAAGTACGGGAAGTACTAGCACTGGCTCCCCAGTTCGAAATCTTTCGGTGGCAGTTTAAGTCCAAGGGACGATGTTCCCAGTGGGTCTATCATATCCTGGTAGCGGTCACCACGGTGTTTAGCCAAAAATGGCCCCCAGTCTGGTTGTGGAGAGCAGACCAATTTGAGCCTCTGGAATCACAAACAACAAAATAATAGGGGAGTTTCAGTAGCAAAAGTGGATCATGGTCGGCTGAAATTTGTTATAGTAGTTACTCTACAAGGAAATATTAAAATACTCTGCCATTCAGTGTTTGTTTTCTACACATATGCAAGATTAGTAGAGGATAAAGAGTCCAGATTTTCATTGTCTGGTGTTGCCCTTCTCTCTCTCTCTTTAGTCCCCCAATTGGCAACAGAAAAACAATTCACAATCGTGGCCACCAATCACCAAGCTCACATAGCAAAGGACATGTGCTCAATTATTTAGCCCAATTGTCTGAGCAGTGGGTTGCTGCATCAAAATAATTGGATTTTTGTTTAGCAAATTTCCCAAAAGTATACAGATGACCAGAAAGTAATTCATTGCTGGGAGTGAAGAAAGATTTTTAATTATCAGATCACAAATAATTTTACTTCGGTTTATGGAAGTGGGAGGGGACAGTGTGTTAACTCTGCAGAGGTACAAACAATGAAAATCTTGTTCGTCTTGCCACTGATTTTTTTTTGTGCTGAAAAATATAATTTGATTGGGGCATTGTATAGAGAAACAGGGAAAGAAAACATATTTCTGATGGTTTAAGAGGGAACAATTATATGTTTATTACCTATTAAAGGGAATCAACCCTCCATATCAGTTATTTTAATTTCTGCTTAATTACCAGTTTGCAGCCTTTGCCTCCCAAATGAACTCTAATGAACTGAATAGCTCAGGAAATTGTGTGCCGAAAATGAAATAACTTCTGTCGAGAAATAAATTCCTGTAAAACAAGACAGAATGTTTTCGGTACTGCTTTGGCACTATGGTTTCAAAGTAGGGATGCCACTATTTTTGGCTAATAAGTCAGTTCCAAGATGAGAGGGCAAGAAACATAGTTACTGACTTGAAAGAGAAATGGGGTGAGAGGCAACGAAGGGAGGGACTACAGGCCTCAGAATGGTATCAACTCATCAGGTAAGATGAACCATGTCGAATGTCTCTTTCTTTGCTCTAGTAATACTTGATCCTAAATCCCCTACAGCATGTATTCTTTTTTGGTTGTTTTTTTTGGAGGGGGGGCACCCTACCATCTGTCAACAGTATTAACGCTCTAGGGGTAAAGTACCAGCAGCAGTGATCCAGTGTGATGTAGTTAGAATAGAACCAGGGAGACACAGGTTGAAATCCCTGCTTGTTATGAAATTTACAAGGCATTCTCTCTCAGCCTTCCTCACAGAGCAGTTGTGAGAGAGAAAAGGAGGAGGGGAAACTATGCATTTTGTCCTGTGCTCCTTTGATATAAGGAAGAATAAAAAACGCACTAAGTAAATAGCCCAAATCAAAATGTTATTTTTAGAGTGAAGATCAAAATCACATCCTGTCTGCCAGCACTTATGTTAATAGTTTGAGTAGGGCTGAAGTTAATTTGCAACTAAAAATTCTCCTCAAAACTCTCCTTTATGCATACTGATGTCTAATCTCGATATTCTGAGCTGTCCTTGTGCACAGATCTCTGCAGTTCCATGGCTAATGCAAACCTCACTACTGGAGGAATAAAAGCAATTACTTTATTAGAATAAGATTTCAAATGCAAAACACACATAGATAAGCAATATAAAGGGGGGAAAGGTCTGTGAACTTGTACCCACCTACAGTGTAGACATGCAGGGCATGTAGACTGTGGAGGTCAGATGTGCACTGAATGCATATGCAACCACCCTTAAAACTTTAAGCAGAATCACTTCTAAGAGGCTCAGTCAGTGGAATTTTGCCTTGACCTGAATCCACTCTCTTGATCAGTTTCCTGTGGTTAAAATTCTTACATTCACCATGGCAGCAAAGTCTCATATTACACCCAGCAGCATGGGGGCAACTGCAGTACTGTTCCTGCCTACAATGCCAGGGTGACTTAAGAAGCTCTAGGCTACATGGGGAGAGCTCACGCCGTCCCTTCTCCCCAAACCAGCGTTGCTGGAAGGTGGCCTTGAAGTGGAGAGAAGCTGCACAGTGGGCTTTCCCCCGTGTGGGCCGACGTGTCTTTACTTACTCAAGTCACACAGGTAGGAGTGGTGCCGGAGCACAAAGTGAGATTTCATTCTCTGGCATTGTCTGCACCAAACCCAACAGCCATCCTCCAGGACATCTTCACCCAACATCTGGTTGCAACATACCATTCAGTTATGCCCATTCTGCAACCTGAAGATGTTATGTGTTGTAACCTAAACACGGTCCCCTTTTCTGAAATTGGGCGAGAGACTGTGAACTATATCTTATACACTAAAAAAAGAGGGAGGGTAAAAAATTACCTCAATAAAGCTGCCAGGAGCTATGTGCATTTTTATCACAAACATAATTGGAATCCAGATAACAGAACAAGCCAACATCAGCCATCCAAGTACCATAGACCATCCAGGGTAGTGATAGCTGCCATAAGTCATTGGTTCCCACTTATAGAAGCTGAAGCAAAGGATGAACTGGTAAAAGAACACATATGAACATACACATGTTAGCTGTGTGTACATTGCCATATTCATATGTACTGGCGATATGATTTATATAAAAAGTGTATGTATTTATACATGAATACGGATAAAAGCATACAACCGTACAAATACAACAATTAACATGTGCATCGACAGTCAGCTTTCAAGCTCTGTAGCACCACTTTAACTCCAGCAGAATCCCACAGAAATCAGTGAAACCAAGTTAGATTTACATGAGCAATGATCCCAGGATCTTGTTCCTCTGGTAAGAAGTTTTATGACACAGTCTACTGGCAGTATAGCTTAATGCAATTATCTTGTTAGTTCATTGCACTTATTGCATAAAGAGCAATGCATCTGCTTACGTTTGAGCATAATTCAGTAATATCTGTGAACTGCCTATGTATACAATAATTGCATGCTGGAGATTTATAGCAGTGTTGCCACAAAGGCCAATATACAAATGACTGGCTGTATTCCAGGAGATGTAGATCAATTTGAACTATAATCTTAACCATTCAAATACATCAAATATTCATTTTAATGGAGGCCACAACAAGCAAGAAAGATGCAGATGTCCTGTCTGTTTCTGCTGAGTGCAACTCATTGTTTTCAACAATCAGTGACAAATATTTTCCTGTTACCCAGAATCCCATACATTGTGCTGTGACATCATAAAAATGTCCATCCCCCCCAAGTGCTTGAGAAGGAGATTTCAAGTGGGGAATTGCTGGAGGGAAATTGATAAAGAAGCCTCTGCCTCACCACCACCACAAACCGTCCCTAAAATTGCTGATTTAAAAGATAAAGGATGTGCAAGGAATACAGGCAACTGCTGCCCTTCATGCAGGACTACCAACCGGGGGGTGGTGTCTCAGATGATTTGGGGGCATTTGTTCTATTTTCCTCTTCTATATATGGACAAGAGAAGAACGGTCATTTTTTCCCCTCTAGCCCATTTATTTTATTTTGAATTATTTCCTTTCTGGGTTGTTTATTTTTTACCCTGTTTAAAAAGATTGCTGGAATCAGGAGTGGGGGGGACAAGCTGGCCCCAGCAGCAGGAGCGGTTTTCTCTGACTACAGCCTGAAAAATTCAAAATAGCTGCCATGTGCCACTTCTTGGTTGCTACTGAAGATTGTAGGTGGCAGGCAGATGGCAGGCAGGCAGCATCGCAGAGACAGCATCCCAAGCTGACTCATTTGTTCTCTTGCGCCCATCAACAGCAGAGGGCCAGGAGCTCCCTGGAGGCCTCTGCGAAGCCTGCCAAGCTTCCCGACTCTCCCTGCGTGGATGCAGTGGTGGCTGACCCACAGCCGTGTCTGTTACAGCAGGGCACAAAGGAGAAGAGAAGAAGAAGAAGAAGAAGAGATTGGATTTATACCCCGCCCTTCACTACCCAAAGGAGTCTCAGAGCGGCTCGCAAACTCCTTTCCCTTCCCCTCCCCACAACAGACTCCCTGTGAGGTGGGGCTGAGAGAGCTCTGACAGAAACTGCTCTTTCTCAAGGACAGCTGTGCCAGAGCTTGTGACTGGCCCAAGGTCACATCAGCAGGTACAAGTGGAGGAGTGGGGAATCAAACCCGGTTCTCCCAGATTAGAGTCCGCGCACTTAACCACTACACCAAACTGGCTCTCGAGGGGGGAGGCTAAAGACATTGGTGGTCTGGGTGGGGCAGAGGCCCCGCCGCTGACCGTTCTGTGGCTGCCCTGGGACTTCTTAAGAGATGGGCGGGCTTTCTGTGTGATCCGGCAGCTCTGTCCAGGGCCCAGGATAATAAGCTAATGTGTCGTTTAACAAGAGCCAATGTGTTAGTATTGTGGGCTGAGACTAGGAATAGCTGAGTACAAATCCCTGTTCATTCATAAAGCTCAGTGGGTGACCTGGTGCCAGTCACTGTCTCACTTAGCCTTCCTCACAACACTGTTAGGATAAAATGGAGTCTACGTATGCTTCCATGAACTCTTTGTGGGAAGGCTGGGATAAAACATTTAATAAAAATATGAAGGTCGGGGGAATTGTAAAGCCTTTTTAGTCTACTTTAATTTCCACAATTTCACTTTGTTATCTGTTTCCACAGGGAAGGTCAGAGTTGTTCCGACTTTCATTATTTAACAACTCTTAAGCTAAACCAAGTGCTTTACTTTCACCCTACCCTTGACGTCTTTTGCCCAATAAAAGCTTTCAGCAGAAGTGATCTG